GCTGGCGCCACCCTCGATTATGAAATTGACCATGTCGATGTCAAGACGACTTTCCACAATGGCCTGCTTGAGGAGGAGATTTGGCAAGAACAGCCAAAGGGTTTTGAGGTCCCAGGGAAGGAGAGTTGGGTGTGGAAGCTCAAGAGAGGAATGTACGGGCTAAAGCAGGGCAGCCGTTCGTGGAATCAACGCCTTAATGCCGCAATGATTTCGATGGGGTTCCAACGTGTTTCGGTCGAGCACAGTGTCTATTCGAGACGTCGAAAGGGTGCCTCATTGTTGGTGGCCGTGCACGTCGATGACCTGTGTGTCGCCGCCAGTTCCAAAGATGAGATGAGGGGATTCAAGGAGGAGTTAAAGCGGAACTTCGAGATCACGGACCTCGGACCTGTCAAGTGGATCTTGGGAATTCGCGTCACCCGCGATCGGAAAGCCCGCACAATATCCCTTGACCAGCAATCGTACATCGAGAAAATGGCAGCGCGTTTCGGTCTTGAAGATGCTCACCCCGTCCGCACCCCGATGGTCCACGGGGAACCGCTTGCTCATTCTATGTCTCCTACATCGCCTACTGCCAAGGCCCGAATGGCCGGAGTACCCTATCGCGAACTGGTCGGCTCGTTGATGTACGCGAATGTCGCAACTCGCGCCGATATCGCCCACGCCGTTGGGATTGTAAGCCAGTTCTGCCAAAACCCCGGAGAACTCCATTGGCTTGCCGCAAAACGTATCCTGCGCTACCTAATTGGTACAAAGTTCTTTGCACTCGTACTCGGCGGCACCTCTGCGCTCCGTCTCGCTGGTTACACCGACTCCAACTACGCTCCCCCAGGTGACTTGGACAAGCGAAAATCTACATCAGGGTACTGCATGACCCTTGGCGGCGGTGTCATCTCCTGGAGTTCGAAGCGCCAAAGCACCGTCGCGACCTCTAGCACTGAAGCCGAGTACATGGCTTGCTGTCACGCTGCCAAGGAGGCTGTCTGGCTCCGGATGCTTCTGCATGCTGTCAGACATACTCAACGCAAAGCGACTGATATCCGCTGCGACAACCAGGGGGCGTTAATCCTCACTGCCGACCCGTCGTTCCATTCACGCGCCAAGCACATTGATGTGCAGTATCATTTCTCTCGTGACCGCGTCGAACGGGGTGAATTGACGTTCACCTATGTTCACACTTCGGAAAATATGGCAGATATCTTCACAAAGCCTCTCCCTGAACCCTTGTTCAAGAAATTCCGAACGATGCTGGGCATCGTTGGTTGACTTGCACGCGTTTAGCACGCTGAGGAGGAGTGTTAGCATCTGTACATCGGGCTACGCGTCAACTCAACAGTGCGACCTCGCGGAGCCGCACGCCAAGCTGAATCATTTTCACCTTACGTAGTTTTCCTCTCACTGGTTCTTACGACGAACTGCGTGAGAGGTATGTCAACCTATTCCTTAATCTACATTACAGACACTTACTATTATCGTAGCTTGTACTTACTGTGTTCGTACAGGTCTCCCTAGTTCACAGATTTGCCATTGGCAGGCAATGTCGTAGGAAATCGCCAAGAACATCGCCGTAATACCAAGAATGGCAGAAAATGCGATGTAGTCCATATTCGCGTATCTAAGGACCGTCAAAACGTCAGTAAATGCAATATCTCGCAATCCGGACACCTACCGCTCGCCCTTTTGTAAGTCCCCGATTCCCTGTGGCCGCACAAGCTCATGCCAAGCGCAAACGACTCCCCCGACTCCCGAGGCACGCAGCCCGGTCGTAAGGCGAGTGTCCTTCTGGAGGAGGGCGGCGAAGGCAATACATGTGCTCACCTATACCGTGCTCTATATTAGTGACCGCTGCACTTAACATCATATGCCCACTTACGTTCTTTTCCGCGACATAGCTGCGCAGGTGTTCTTTGTACGGTGCATCCTTGTTACATCCATGCACGGATAACTCGGACGAAGGTCCGAGTGCGGCCCAATGACTCCGTTCCGAGATTCACTCCCGAGTTTTCGGAGTATCGTAGGAGTCAGCACATCCATGCATCGATCCTTCGGACCTGCTTCGGACCTCGCTCCGAGCTGACCAATCACTCCGTTTGAACTCCGACTCCGGATTACCCAATTCATCCTGAACATCATTCCGAGTCGGATTGCACACCATACACCATGTCCTGTGTCTCCTGTGATATCTCATGCATGGGACTCGCACTCCGATCCTGCTGTCACACTCTGGTCACGCTCCGTCTCCGGTCACGCTCCGCTCCGCATCACGGAGCTGTCAGGAGTAACCACACGGGTCTGGATTCCGTGCTATGGCACCATCCAACTCGTTCAACAATGGTCCGACATGTTCCTTACTTCTTACTTATTGTTCCAGTACTTCTTATCAGTCACCTGACTTCTTCTCCTCCTTTTGGTACTCAGCTTTATTGTTGCGTCCACATCTTCTACACCTTTATTGTTACATCCACATGCTTCATTACCTATCTCCTTTATGCATTACAATTAGCCTGTTTACTATTTAACCTCTTAGTCTACTCCCTGTAAATCAGTTTGATTATTAAAGTTGCTTCACCCCGTTCCTCGTGAAGTAATCTGAGTCTCTGTCCGGAACTCACTGCGGACCTCACCCGCTTACTCCTGTCCATCCGGACGAAGGGAAGTATGCTCACACTACGTCTCCTTGTTGTGTAGCGCTACTCCGGTCCCCCAGTTCTCTGTGCCCCGCGCTCCGTCACTCCGGCGCTCCGCACTCCGACGCTCCGACGCTCCGTAGCTCCGATCACTCCGATCCGGAGCCCGGACCCATCGGACCCATCACACTTCTGGTCCGGACCACTCCCTTCATCTCTCTGTCCATCTCCGAAGACTAAGGCAGTACGCTCGCGCATGACCTGTCGCGTTGTGTCATCCAGCCCGCCGATCTTCATCATTCGACCCCGGTCTCTGGTTCCGTTCTGTCCGGCCCTCAGCTCCGGTTCGGAAGGTGTCTGATCGTTCGGTTGGCCCATATCCTAAACCCCTCGGCTCGGATATAACAATCCTCCACTATGTATCCCCAGCCATCGGCTAGAGGCGGATCATCACGTTCGTTGGCGCGCAGTCGATTCTTCAAGCGGAAGTTGGTGTCCATCGCCAAGAGCAACATGTAGAGGAACCTAGAACGACAACGGTAAGAAACATCAGTACATGAAAAACTTCGTTAATTAGAGGAACGAACTGGAACTCGGGCGCGACGTCTCGCCAGCCTTCAGGAAGATTCTTCCCGTCGTGAGGACACGTCCAGCACAGGACCGCGCACTCCCCATTCTGCGTAGAAGCCAGAAGCCCGTTGTCATGAGCTCGTCCAGCGCGCTTCATTCGTTTTAAGAACGAGTATTGGCGGCTCATTCGGCCAAAGGCCTTATATCGATCCTGAAGGCGCGCAGTCAGTCGACCTTCCTGATTCCGCTTCAGAAAACTCACCGGCACTGTCTCGACTTGACAGGGATCAGTCTGACGCTCCATGGCGCCAACAAAGTTGTGGACGTTAATGTTGCCCACGACGTTCAATGTCCGAAACGTCTCGAGCGCCACGAAGGTCGCGCAGGTCTCTGGATCGACCGTCGTCGCTGGATACCAGCCGTTCCGCATTAACTGCTCCAAATTGTTGGCGCGATCTGCCTTGTCGCAGCCACAGTACCGATCGTTGACGGTCTGGATCACCTCAGTGTCCATTACGACCATGTTGTGAGTCGTAGGTGCTGGCCGGGGGCATGTGTGGTCACCATGGCCCAGTTGGTAAACACACCCGAGTTTCGTCAAAGTGGTGTTGACCCAAAAGGTACCGTTCCATTCCTGGGGCCGGTTTAGCGTCGGTTGACGAAAGGCATGATACAACTCACTTTGACTCTATGCAGAGGGCTTAGTGAGTGGCGTGATTGTACACACTCTAAACACTGAACGAAAACCCCACAGTCGGCACAGCAGAAACGACGAAACTGCCTCGAGTGAACGCGCTGGCAGCAGGGGCACTTGTTCTCGTCCAGAGCATCTCCGAGACCATCGTGTCGCACTGTCTCGTCGAAGAAGAACTGTTTCATTAGGCACCAAAGTCTCATCGGCTCATCCTACAATTGACATTACTACATGAGCCACGTCTTGAAATCTACTCACTGAGCTTAGATAGCGCTTGCGCTTCTCGCCGGTATCAGCATCGGTGAAATTGTCGGCAGGAATTTCTTCTTCAGCCTCTCCAGGTAGGGGAATCCATTCGCCATAGGCGTCGAACAGATCCGACGGGCAGACCTTGCGTTTCTTCGCCCCGACATTGTGAGCGGACTGGAAGCCTTGAAGTCCATCACTGGACATATAGAATCCTCTGTCGCGGGATTGTTCGGTAGGGCGCACCTCGTACTCGTAAAAGCTGGCATTGTCTCGTTGTGAGCGATTGGGCGCCCTGGTGAAGCTTTCGGCCCTCGTGTAGCCCGTCATTCGAAGTGTAGCGCGAAGGCAGTCGTCGTCCAGCGCACGAATACCGCGGGGAAACACCTAGCAAAAGAGAACCACTTAGTGATCCAGCGCACGGATACCGTCGGCCAGCGTCCCACCAAGAATCTTGGCTAGTGGCGCGCGCGTTGGGATTGAGTGGGAGAGGGTGGTGGTGGAAGGAAGAGAAAGATAAACGAAAGAGGTTGCCGCATGGAAGAACGATACGCAACGAATCCCAGATTCGAGTGAAGTTCAAGAAGTGAAGTTGAGTTGAGGCACACGTGCCCGGCCTCTCGGCCCGCGCATAATTAGGTAAACAATCGTTTGTTTTCTATTTTTTCATAGTCACACAGCCACAATGAGAATCAATTTGAGAGAAGAGGACATGCAACAGTATACAAGACGCAAGGGTAATTAGACTTCGAGCCAGCTCATTAAGTTACGATTTCGCGAAACATTGTGGACGTGGCCGTAGACCGTTTTGCGAAAGGTTGTGGCCAGCCATTTAAGGAAATTTGGAGTTACAAGAAAAGAGTGGCAAAAGCGGGAATTGAACCCACGGCAGGATGCATATAGATTATGCAATGCAGGATACATCACCAGGCTAGCGTCGTAACCAACTAGGCCATCATTGCTATTCCTTCCTACACTTTTGATTACCTTTTATGACTGCCTCTGAGCACATATAACAAATCTCCTAAACTACAATAACAATATCCTTGGGACCCTGACTCTAACCAACCCTAACCTAACCCAAACCTTAACCAACCCTCACCCTAACCCACACCTTAACCACCCAACCCTAACCTGTGTGAGCTGGACAACCTAGTTTGTTCACTAAATGCTGATTCTGTGCTTAAAAAAACATATGATGTATGGCCATCATCTGGACAGGATTGCATGCTCTCTTGGCTCAGTTGGTTACAGTGTTGCCTTATTGGTTGATGATGTAATCCATTCCGTTTTGCATTCGTGGGTTCGAATCCCACTCTTTTAATCCTTTTCTTAGTGGCCGAGATGTTTCGCAAAACGTCCTATGGCCATATCCAGGATGTTTCGCGAAAACCCCCTATACTGAGGTGTTCGAGCAGTAAGCATTTCGACTTTTTCACCACAATATTTCCATGCCCATCAGGGAACGCGTACGCCTGACGGCGTTCGAAACACATGTGCTTCCCGTTGGAGCAGCGGCAGTTGACGAAGAGGACACCAGTAGGTGTGTGGATCTGTGGATAAAACCTCTGATGAGTAACTTGAAAAATATTTGAAAGAAATCTTAATCTCACCTTGAGGCGGTGGGGCGGGTCGTAGTCGTAGGTCCGACGGCCGGTGCCGGCGCTATTGAACTGTGGACGGTTGACTTCATTCAAGAGAGACCAAACGCGCTCGATGCGCTCGGCAGTGGTGAACTTGACGCCAGGAAACTCCCCTTCAAGATCTTCAGCAACTTCCGCCACAGGGATGTACTTGTTCGGGACGGCAGGGGTGTTGTTGTTCGCGACGGTGGTGTTGTCGTACGACTCCCCGCGCTCCCCAACGGGCTTGGGAGCACTAAGGACGTCGGTGGCGGCAACGGGCTGAGCGTCGAGGATGAGAGCCGGAGGATCGACAGACGGTTCATGGGATGCCTTGGCGGCAGCGGTGGCAGCGTGGAAGGCGGCAGGGTATCCCTCAGGGTCGAGACCGGGGGACGGTGGCAGTGTCGAGGGCTCGAGAGGTGGCATCGACGACACATCAGACTGGGAGTCGCATTCGCTGTCTGACGATGCGCACTCATCCGCTTCCCTATGCACACGGTTTAAATTTCAAAAACTAGAATAGAACTGGGGAAACTTACGTATATAACGCGGCAGAGGACGCCGTCTGCATGGTGTAGACCTCACAATAGTATTCGCAGCACAAGTCGTACGTTGCCAAGTTGGGCAAAGGACGTTGGTGACGGAGGTAGGCGGGGAACTTCGCTCGGATGAGCCGGGTTTGGGCCTTGAAGTAGCGCTGACAGTACATATCGAGCATCTGCTGCTGCTTAACCCTGACGCATTCGATGAGAACTGAGGGATCACCAACATGGAAAAAAAACTTACAGCGGTAAGCCATAGTTGATAGTGGTGCTGGAAACTCCGTAGGTGAGGAAGGCGGCGGTGACCGCTCCTAGCAGGGAACGGCGTTAGAGCAAGACATAATTGGTACAGGTAGCAAGGACGTACCTTCGTGCTCGTCGTTGGGGAAAGACATTTTGGAAGCAGAGAAGATGGGCGTTCTCTGCAAGAGGGTTCGCACGGTCGATGGCTTTTATACCTGAGGCTCTATGTTTGTCGTTGTATGTTTGCTGGACAATCCAGATCGACCAGGCGGAGGTAAGTGTGCGGTTATTGAGATCAATCTGTTCATTCACCTATTGGTCTGTTGTCTCTCGGTTAATTGACGCGGTCCTAGCCAGGAAACTCGGCAGGAGATAAGTTAAAAGGGAACTCACCGCGTTTCGCATCCTCGTCCCACTCTCTTGTCCCCGCTAAAATTTCTCCCTCCAGCAGACTCCACAGCTAGACAGCATGCGCCCTAGCCTTAGTATCCGCCCCCTTCCCGTTGAACAGCCCGGCCAACCTCTCCAGGGCAGAGTCCCAGATTATTCCATGCCTGGGCTCGACAGCCCGCTCGAGCCCCACATCAAGTTTCACTTCCAACGCCAGCTCGACGAAGCACTGCGTCTCGTCGATCCGCCGGTGCCATTCCCCGACGACCTCCTCCCTGAAGAAATGCCTCGTCCCGGCTACGCCCATGCCGGCGTCCAGGCTTTCAGCCCCGTGTTATATCCATGCAACCACACCCCTGGACAATGGTCTTCGTCACCCAAGACCACTCCGGTTTTCTATGGGCACTCCGGTCCACTCCGGTGTTTCCGGAGTCAACCGGAAACCCGGAGCCAACCGGAATCCTGGTATTAGTATTGGAATGACTTCTCGCGGTCAGTCGTGGCTGGTATCAAGGGGTAACGACCTCTCCACATGTTCCCTCTTGCCTTCCATTGCCTCATGGCAGATTTCATCACCTCATGTTTCATTTCCCAAGATCAATACTGATACAGGTCGAACTTCTCTTACCGCTTATGGACTTCCTATTCTTTCAACCATATGCTCGTCCACATGTTTCTCCTTTATCTCCTTTACACTAAATTAGGATCCAACACTATTTAATCAGCTAGCATACTCCCTGTTCTTCAGTAGTTTAATAAACGTCGCTTCCCCCCCTTCCGGAGTGGTGCCAGTCGCTCCTCTCTTCCCCCAGACCCTTCCTCTTCCTCTAGACGATACCTGGCAGTACACGCTCACCCTGCGCCTCAGTGGTGTTGTGTCAAGCAGCTCCGCCGATCCCCTTTGTCGACTCCGGTTACTCCGGCCTACTCTCCGGCACCCCGGTTATTCCGGAGTACCTTGTACGACTCCGGCCGACTGTTCCACTATCCCTTAACCCCGCGGCTTGGCATATAACACCCCATCAGAAAGCTGCCCCCGGTCAACAGGACTGCCAGGGCCGCGCACAGAGCGAACCGCTTTGCCAAACACCAAGCGGTTGCGGCAGCGGCACGCCGGGCACACTTTGAGTGGGCTCCACACCCCCCAGCCGCGCTCAGGGTCTCGCGTGGGCACACATTTGATCCTGGCCTCATCGAGGACCGCGACTACACCTTGGACGAGTTGGTCGGCCCACAGTCGAGGTTCAAGCTGCGCGCGGTGTCCATTGTGGGAGGGTAAGCCACATGACTAACCCATGCATCGACGATACTTATATATTGCGCCCCAGGGCCCCGCGTGCGGTTATTGCGGAAGATAATAGCTTGGTGGCTTTGCTCGGCGGGTATTCAGCGAGGAGGACTTGGCTCACAGATGTTGTTGAGCCCGCGACGGAGGCTTGCGAGGAAGCTGCCCCGCACGTTGTTCGTAGCCCGGAGGAGGTGAGGTACGACATTGCCCCTACTTTGCACGGCGGTGTCGGCACGACATTCAATGAGCCAGTTGTAGGTCCAGTCCACTCACCAGAAGTATCCATTGACTAACACGTCCCGTAGACTGAAAAGAATCCGGGAGTCTTGCTGAACGCGCTCATTTTCTTTGAGTTGATGTCGTCTTTGGCGATGAAGCGCTTGCTCGGATATGGAAATCGTGAGGCACTGCCGATGGGTTGATATGTATTATTTACTAACGGGTTCGCAGGCCTCCTCTCAGTCTTCTGCCCTACCGCCTACAACACGCTCCACAACGAAAAGCGAAGCTTTCTGGACAAAAAACCCGACCTACTGTATCCGTCCGACTCTAGTGTCTTCTCGGCGGCCACCTTCGAGCTCGGTGGCCCCCACCGTCGCTCGCTTGCGCTCGGAGTCGCTCATCGTTACCTCCCCAGCGCGTGGAGTGTCCTCATGGCCCTCGGCAAATTCAATTCGCGGCGTGGGGGTCACGTCATTCTCTGGGAGCTTGGCTTCGTCGTGCGCTTCCCCGCCGGCTCAAGCATACTCCTCCCCACCGGCCTGATTCACTACTCCTTCGTCCGTGTGCGCGCGGGTGAAACTCGTTACTCAGTTCTCCAATACACCGGTTCTGGCATTCCCCGGTGGTTCCGGAACGGTCAAAACACCGACGTCGAATTCGCCATGAAGGCCGATGAGGAGAAGCATGCGGCTCGCAAAGAGCGTCAGCAAGCCGCCCATGCTGACGCTCTCGACGCATTCCCCCTCGAGGAAGAGATGCCGCAGGAACATATGCTCCTGCGTTTCGTTGGAACGCACTGACCTCTCTACGCCGAATCCTAGTCCGCCAGCTATACCTATTCTTCTAGTCTTCCTCTCTGCGCGCTGCCACGTTACTTTACTCTCTTCACCTTCTCACTCAATACCTCAAACGTCAAAAGCTCCAAAAAATACCTATCTATGTTTAGTTACCGCCCCTCAAATTTATCCTTTGCACAATACAATGTGATTCAAGAAAAAAAAATCATTGCAAAGACGTCCTATTAAAACCAGTACCGACGTCCACCCTTTATGTACGGCTGCTGCCCGTGCTCTGGCACATAGTCTGGGTGTCCAGTGATGTTCAAGAGCGGTCCGTCTGCGTCAAGATACTCCCACCAACGATGTATGCTCGTTATGCGATGACCCATATACACTGGTTCATCAGCATCACTCTTGTCCTCGTCGGTTTCCTCTCCCGGTGAGTCTTCTGCATCAATGGCCACCAGAGATTTCGGGGTACGCTGCTGATGATTCCGACTCTGCGGTGTGGGTGTAGGTGGTGGGCTGCTGCGGTCAATTGACCCGCGCGGGGACCGGGGCTTCACCAAATTCAGATCGGCGAGTTTGCCCGGAGAAGAGCGGAAGGGAGAGGGGGCATGGCGCAGGGCGGGGGGAAGGGCGGGAGCAGCAATGGATGGGTGCGGGTTCGCGGCGCGCGCAATCGGTTGGGGGGCTTTTGATAGTTGTTGGCGCCCGGTGGGTCCTGTTGCTTTTGTCAACGTCTTCTCATATTCTGCGTGAGGTTGTGACGCAGCCCTCGCGCGTCTGTTTTTTCATTAGGTATCGACCTCTACAGCGCCGGACAACTTACTCATTGTACCTTCGGCGGTATTGACGCGCTTTTTGCGTGGC